TGATTACCAAATTCTAACGTAGCCCAAACAGACTCTGTTTGCCTCACTAACTTTTATTAGGCTAGATTTTATGCTATCCTTCACATACAAGGCCACCCCTCCCCTTTCTTGCCTTCCCTATCTTTCCTATATAAAGAGTACCCTGGTATTGCTATGTCCCAGTCATTTTTCTCATTGTACCATGTCTCAGTAACAGCGACTAAATCTACACTATTAGTTGCCATTATTGCCACAAGTTCATGGATCTTATTCCCTAAACTGCGAGCATTTGTAGACATGACTCTAAGCTTATCATTTTTTAACACACTTGCTACAGGCACCTTCTGTCCTTGTTTTGGGGACAATTGGATTGATGTTTTATCACCCTTTTGCCCCCCCCTCCTAGTTTAAATACATCCTAGCAAAACCTCTGAACTGCTCACTGAGAACATTTGTTCCCTTTTGAGAAAGATGCAAACCATCTTTTTTGTACAGCTTATCTCCATTCCAAACAGAGCTACTATGAGAAATAAAGCCAAATCCTTGCTCCCGACACCATTCACCAAGCCACAAATTAAAGTCCCTAATACGCATCCGCCTGTCGTTCTGAGTGTTATGCACAGGCAGAATTTCAGAGAATGACAGTGTGGAAGCAACCTGCCGTATATCATTGGCAAAAATACTAAAAACTTCCTTAACCTCTGAAACCTCATTGCAAGCCAAGTCATTTGTCCCTAGATGGACAAGTACATCCAATTCCCCTTCCTTCTTTGCTTGCTTAACAATATTACAGATACGTCTCCTGTCTCTGTGAGCAGTAGCTCTGGGAAGACACCTCACAAGACCACCATTGTCCATCTCCACACCTCTTATAATGGAATCCCCCAACAACAACTGCTTTCTATTAGGCCTCACCATAGTCTCCAAGCCGGTCTCCACAACACCACTAGTCTCAGTGCCTCTCTCCACAACACCACTGGTCTCAGTGCCTCTCTCCACAACACCACTGGCCTCAGTGCCTCTCTCCACAACACCACTAGCCTCAGTGCCTCTCTCCACAATACCACTAGCCTCAGTGCCTCTCTCCACAATACCACTAGTCTTAGTGCCTCTCTCCACAACACCATTAGCCTCAGTGCCTCTCTCCACAACACCATTACACTCTGAAAGTGCAGAAAATGAATTATGAAGAGCAACAGACTGTGCAAAATGCCTTTTATCCACAACTCTAAGTCTACCAGATCCTACAGTAATCCATCTGCCTTTCCTAGTATGTCTCTGCAGCAGATTCTTCACCAGATAATTTACAAATCTCAGACTTCAAAAATACAATCTCCTGCCGCAAGATAGAGAACTGTCTACAGATTAGACAACAACCAAACCTCCAAAAAGTTGAACGTGAAACAAATGCATAGCAATTGTTACACTGAACTAAGTCTGCCATTCCAATTATGAGAATAATTTAAATCTAACATATCTCAACTTGTATTTATCCTCCTGAATACCTCAGATTACATCCAGGTTATCTCCAGAATATCTCCAACTACACACTTAGAAACAGCACTCTCCAGAATATCTCCAACTACACACTTAGAAACAGCACTCTCCAGAATATCTCCAACTACACACAGCACTTAGAAGTAGCACCAAGCTATATTAGACAAGCTAATGACACCAAGCCTTATATAACTCCTAAAATCAACACCCTCTAGGAATGTTTAACACCTGGGTAGGCCTCTGCTTATTTGCAAACAATGGCTAATTAACCAGCAATCAATAGCAAGTAACTAGCTTAATCAAATCAAATGCCTTATAATTACCAACAGGAATTCAAGCCTTGTGCAATCAGTAACCTTTTCCTACAGATGAATCTTACCTGTAACAGTATAAAAGAAAGCTCTTAGCACAACTCTTAGACAGTTGAAGCTTCTGTAAAACTCTCCAGAATATATCCAACTACACACTTAGAAACAGCACTTAGAAGTAGCACCAAGCTATACAGCACTTAGAAGTAGCACCAAGAAATTTGCGGTTTCTTTTCAGATGAAACTTCATATCCTCATTAGTAAGATGACCTAGCACTTTCTCCCTACTCACATCCTTGCCAAACAATTTACCCTTCTTGAGGGCACTTAAAGTGATCCCAAACAAATCAACCCTTTGCCTTGCAGCTGCTGAAAATGGTGGTAGCTGTGCATAAAAGGTAGTGTAAGCTGTCGCAACGCAATCCTGTACACTTGCATTTGGTTACTTGTAATGTTTATGGTAGTGGTGTTGGTGATGGTAACAATGACGATGGTTGGGGTACTAATGACCCTGGTAGAAGAATGTGTCAGCAGTCCTCTTGGCCAAGGAAGACGTAGTAAGACTTTGAGAGGTCTTTCCACTAACCCGGATGGTGGATTAGGGAACAAGACCACTACCCTCTCTCAGTTTTTTCTTGAGATTAATATGTAACATTGATGATGGTGGGTTTGTTTTTTACTATTATAAATTATATTATATAATATATTATAAAATAAATGTTCATGGCTGATGAGTCCCAAGAAAGGCCAAAATGATCATCCGGGGTTGCTGAATCTCTCGTGCAGAGAGAACTTGACGGAGAGATAAACACACCTCTAGTGGTTGTCTTCCAGACTAATGGTGCTTTCTCTACAATGACTAAGTAAAACTCAATCACATGAGGTTGTAGCTCATAGGAAAACATTAAATTCAATGCTTTCCTCTGAGAAGCATTTGGATGCATGCAGGATTTGCCGCATACGTGCATCAGTTTCCAATGTTCCTCTATGTTTGGACATGACATAGCGGGAGACAAAGCATCAGGCAGCACCAAAGGAGATTAGGCATTGGAGGCAAAACAATAAAATCCCTTTTCTCAAATTTTTACTAAAAATGATGGGGACCTAAAACGAATCTGTAATTAGGGCACTATAGCATTATGTTATTCCTGACACTATACTGTTCCTTCAAATTTAACTAAAATAGCTCTCAATGGAAAATGAGTATCTTCTCATGAACTTAATTTACTATAACGTTATATTTACATCAACCCCTGTAAGCATTTGCCTAAATTAGACTAAATGTAATTAATCTTAAATATTACTAAAATAAAAAAAATCAGTCTATCCATTATTTTCAGTTTCTATTATTTAAGTGCTAGATTTGATCACCAGGCCAAAATTATTTTGTCGCAGTCCTCGAGTGCAAGTCATTTGGAGTTTTATATAAATTATATATATATATATATATCTTAGGAGCAGACTGAGCACTGCAGCAAATTGGTCATGGATCTAGGGCCTGAGGCTCTTGGAGGCCTGCTTGTGGTTAAGTAAATTATTGGCTGAACTGGGGAGTTGAACAAGTTCCTGAGCCAGCCTGCATAGAGTAAGGAACACCCACGCCTCTCAATGTGTCTGTCTCAGTGTGACTGAAAGTAATTGGCAGAGGCTCTAAGTGCAGAGCCTCTCCTGGGAGATGAACTAGCCACCCTGAGCATTCACCCGGTAACACTGAACAGGGCAGCTCTGTGTGGCTCGTTGTGCAGGGAGTGACATCATCAATTAAAGTGCAGAGCTGCCCTGATCAGTGTCACAAGGTACATTCACATCTTAAAACGCAAGGATAAGGATTCCTTCCTCTCTGGCCAAAGGTAAGACTCAGGGAGAGGGGGATAATTATTTTTTTGCCACTTCACAGCTCCTATTCCTCCATCCCCCTTTCCAACAAAAGCCCCTATAACCCCTGCTCTTACTACACCTACTATTAACCCCAGGCACACATCCGTCTACAGCCTCTATACCCACTACAGCCTCTTTCCCACTGCATCAACTTTATCCCCTTACCTCCCTGCCCCCATTGCTTCCACTACTCCCCTTACCCGACCTGTTTCCACTACATCCCCTGTCTCCCCCTGCACCCACTAGTGCCTCTATCCCCCCTGTACTCACTAGACCTATATGGCTAATTTAAACCTAATGGGTCAGAAATACACGTTTGTATTCCTGACACTATAATGTTCCTTCAAGGTCGCTCATAACTTTTAACACCTGGTTTGTAATTCAAGATGCAAAATTTAGAGGTCTGCATACCTCATACAAACACACTGCCACAATTCACAAATACCCAGTTATACATATTGTCATGCTACACAAACACACATAAAAACACTACCCTATTAAAAAAAAACAAAAAAAAACATGTATTTAAATATACTCTGGATCTCAAATCCACACACTACACACATACATGTATATTCACTTACACTGGTTCTCACAGTAAATACACATACGGAAACATGCATTCACTTTACATGCACATACAATCAAATACACGTTAGATCTATACCAGCATATATATTGATCTTCAGGGGACCCAGGTCCTAATTTTGCACAGGGGCCCAGGCCACTGTCAGTCCATCCATGATATATATACAAAAAATAACCTTGCACTTCTACTTAGTCTTTAGGACCCGGTGCTTGATAACACAAGATGTGTACAAAACTAAAGAAATATCAGCACTCCAAGGTATTCCAAATGATTCTACTTGATAAAGATATGTCAGGTAAAGTCGACGTTTCAGTTCCACATGGGAACTTTCTTCAGGAAAAAACACGTTTTGAATGATTCTCCCCCGCCAATGATATTTGTGCACTGACTGTGATGCTAGTTACTATAAGAGTTATTCACTATAGTGAGAATTGTCACGAATTCGATGTGATTCAAAGTGAATTTTAAACTTAAGGCAAAATAGTCAAAAGTGGAAATATACAAGTTATCAATGCTTCCAGTTCTGCAATTTTTAAGTTTGAAATTCACTTTGAATCCCCACTTTACTTCACATCAGAAAATAACCATATACGATCTTTAATTTAAGTTTAATGAATATAGAATCACATTTTGGAAAAAAGCATTACACAAAAAAAACAACAAATTAAAATGTTTTTCAATGATTTATACAATTAGGTAATTTCCAGAGAAGCAAAACTAAGATTTTTTTAATTCCAAGTGAATTCTCTGTGAAGGTCCACGTTCTATCTCTCAGATCTTAGGGGTTACAATGTCCAAAAATTGCACTTCTTAAAAGATGATCAGATTGGTGTTTTCTAGAGGAATTTTGCTCACTGGTAGCCTCCTCATGTTTCTTCCTTTTCTCATGTGTTTGGTGAATGCTGCAAGTACAATAAATACAGTTAGAATCATTAAAGGGATACTACAGTGTTAGGAATACTAAGCTGTATTGCTAATACTATAGTTCCCTCTGCAACTCCCTCCCTTGTGCACCCCAGCCAATAAAGGGTTACAAACTACAATTAGAGTAAAAAAAAAAAAATCAGTGATTTACATGTGGAGTCTCATTCATTGATTCATGAAATAAACAGACAAACAATAAAATAGAAATGTGCACATGGAGATCTCAATCTACTAAGCAAAAATTCATACCTGACTTTACATGAGATGCGCCCGACTACGCTCTGCCTGTCTTGTGAAAGGGATCACACAGTGGATCTTAATGGCTTTAAAGCATCTGAGGAGAAATGGAAAAACTATTAAACTCAATGTCTGAAAATCTGTAACATGATGTATTGACTAAATTCCAATAAATTGTAATACTTAGCTCATAGAACTCACTAGAAGAAAGTTTTTTTTGGTTCTCTGATGTGTGATCTCTTATATATGAATATATGTACATATAAAATCATTGTAAGTCTGCCCCGTGCTGTCCATTGACAATCTTTGTATTATGTTAAATGAACTAACGATGAAATAGAATTCTCACCTGCCCTTACATGAAGACTACTCCATGACTTGTGAAAGGGATCTTAACTTTCAGGCTTTAAATCGTCTGAGGAGAAATGGAAAAACTATTAAATTCATTGTCCGGAACACTGCAACTTGATGTATTGACTGAATTTGAATAAATTGTAATAGTTATCTCATACTACTCACAGTCAAATCCTCCACCACATTCTTGGGTGTTTTCTTTGCCCAAGGATAGCACTTCTTAAAAAAATGATCAGACTCGCTCCTTTATTGGTGCTTTTCTAGAGGAGGCTTGCTCAGTGCTATCCATCGCGTATGTCTGCTTTGGATTTCTGTGTTTCTCGCTATAGCTGTGGATGCAATGGATACAGTTAGAATCCTTAATTTATTGAAGGCGTTTGTGTTTACTGATCTAAGAATCCTACATTGCTGCTTTTAATTTGTATCTCTTAGAATGGTCAAGGTACAAGCCAAAGTCAGAAAAGTCAAAGAATACTAACAGACAAACATGCTCTTGAATTACTACTAAAGGGCTGTTATTGGCACCAAACGTGCGTGCACATCATTGGTACCATGATGCAAGAACACCTGAATCACCAGCTAGGCCGGAGTATATAAGATATAAGGCCTCCATGTGCAGTGGCTAGAGTCCGAAGGGACACTAGAAGGTGGTGAGACCGCAGATGAGGCAGGTAAAGTTGGCAGCAGAGGTAAGAGAACAAGCCGCAGAAGACGTGCCGCACAGGGGCTCGCCGAATGGCCACCGGTCCTATCAGCCATTAGCAGGTTATAAACGAAAATACTAGAATAGTATCCGAGAATGGTGATTTGTTGTAAATAATGGACCCTCTGAAGTTTATATTTATATATTTTAATTTCTGAATGTGCTTTAAATCCCCCCTGTGCTGTCCACTGACATAGTTTCTGTCAAATGAACAGACAAACAATAAAATGAAATTCTGTGCATGTATTGTGTGTATGAGATTCCAATCTACTAAGCATAAATTCTCACCTGACTTTACACGAGATGCCCCCAACTACTCCATTCTTTGTGAACTGGATCGTACAGCGGATCCGGACATTGAGCTGTAAACGCCGCTCTCTCCACAATCTGAGGAGAAATGGAAAAACTATTAGAATCAACATCTGAAATACTACAATATGGCTTGTAGTTATCTCATACTACTCATCGGAATAAACTCTTTGACAGTTGTCTTTGTCTTTTTGCAGAATGTTTTTTAAAATCTGGGAAGATATCGGTCATAAGTTGTTTATATTCTGACAAACCTTCTATGAAGCTTGACACAAAATAATGGCATCCCTCACGAGTTGGGATCATATTCCTCATGAGTAGATTTGAGTGAACGTCGTACCGAACATTACGTTTTTTGGACCCAGGACCCGAACACGGACATATCACTGTATGTTCGGGTTGGAGTTCGGTGTTCAGCGATTTAATGGTGTGTTTTCAAAGGTTGCAGGGCAGCCAAACAACAAGCGTTTGACTTGTGTGCCCTAAGAAGCCATCACAGCCATGCCTACTAATGGCATGGCTGTGATTGGCCAGTGCAGCATGTGACCCAGCCTCTATATATAAGCTGGAATTGCGTAGCACCGCATTCACATGAGCTCTTATTAGTGTAGGGAGAGGATGCTGCATCTGTGAGGGACAGGGAATTCTGCAAACTAGTACATTAGTGGGGTGCACTTCATATCTGACAAAATAGTCCAATAGAAGCGTCAAATACTGCGGTTACATCAGAGTTTTAAAAAGTCAATTAAATTGAAGCGTCAAATACTGTGGTTAAATCGGAGTTTTAAAAAGTAAAAAATTTTTGGTGCTAAACTGCTAAATATTATTTTAGTGGGGTGCACTTCATATCGGAGAGTCAAATAGAAACGTCAAATAGAGGGCTTACAGCGCAGTTGTAAAAATTCCAATTGTTTTGCTGCTAATCTGCTAAATAGTACATTTTGGGCGTGCTCTTCATATCTGAGAGTCAAATAGAAGCGTCAAATAGTGCGCTTACAGCACAGTTGTAAAAGTTCTAATTGTTTTGCTGCTAAACTGCTAAATAGTACATTTTGGGCGTGCTCGTCATATCTGAGAGTCAAATAGAAGCGTCAAATAGTGCGCTTACAGTGCAGTTGTAAAAATTCTAATTGTTTTGCTGATAAACTGCTAAATAGTACATTTTGGGCGTGCTCTTCATATCTGAGAGTCAAATAGAAGCATCAAATAGTGCGCTTACAGTGCAGTTGTAAAAATTCTAATTGTTTTGCTGCTAAACTGCTAAATAGTAAATTTTGGGCGTGCTCTTCATGTCTGAGAGTCAAATAGAAGTGTCAAATAGTGCGCTTACAATGCAGTTGTAAATATTCTGATTGTTTTGCTGCTAAAGTGCTAAATAGTAAATTTTGGGCATGCTCTTCATATCTGAGAGTCAAACAGAAGTGTCAAATAGTGCGCTTACAGCGCAGTTGTGAACATTCTAATTGTTTTGCTGCTAAACTGCTAAATGGTACATTTTGGCGTGCACTTCATATCTGAGAGTCAAATAGAAGCGTCAAATACTGCTGTCACATTGCAGTTGTAAAACTTTAAAAAATTTTGGTGCTAAAAAGTACTTTAGTGGGGTGCACTTCATATCTGAGAGTCAAATAGAAGCGTCAAATACTGCTGTCACTTTGCAGTTGTAAAACTTTAAACATTTTTGGTGCTAAAAAGTACTTTAGTGGGGTGCACTTCATATCTGACAGTCAAATAGAAGCATCAAATAGTGCACTTACAGCGCAGTTGTAAAAATTCCAATTGTTTTGCTGCTAATCTGCTAAATAGTACATTTTGGGCGTGCTCTTCATATCTGAGAGTCAAATAGAAGCGTCAAATAGTGCGTTTACAGCACAGTTGTAAAAGTTCTAATTGTTTTGCTGCTAAACTGCTAAATAGTACATTTTGGGCGTGCTCGTCATATCTGAGAGTCAAATAGAAGGGTCAAATAGTGCGCTTACAGCGCAGTTGTAAAAATTCTAATTGTTTTGCTGCTAAACTGCTAAATAGTTCATTTTGGGCATGCACTTCATATCTGAGAGTCAAATAGAAGCATCAAATAGTGCGGTTACAGCGCAGTTGTAAACATTCTAATTGTTTTGCTGCTAAACTGCTAAATAGTAAATTTTGGGCATGCTCTTCATATCTGAGAGTCAAACAGAAGTGTCAAATAGTGCGCTTACAGCGCAGTTGTGAACATTCTAATTGTTTTGCTGCTAAACTGCTAAATGGTACATTTTGGGCGTGCTCTTCATATCTGAGAGTCAAATAGAAGCATCAAATAGTGCGGTTACAGCGCGGTTGTAAACATTCTAATTGTTTTGCTGCTAATCTGCTAAATAGTACATTTTGGGCGTGCTCTTCATGTCTGAGAGTCAAATAGAAGCGTCAAATAGTGCGCTTACAGTGCAGTTGTAAAAATTCTAATTGTTTTAATGCTAATCTGCTAAATAGTACATTTTGTGCGTGCTCTTCATATCTGAGAGTCAAATAGAAGCGTCAAATAGTGCGCTTACAGTGCAGTTGTAAAAATTCTAATTGTTTTGCTGCTAAACTGCTAAATAGTACATTTTGGGCGTGCTCTTCATATCTGAGAGTCAAATAGAAGTGTCAAATAGTGCGATTACAGTGCAGTTGTAAAAATTCTAATTGTTTTGCTGCTAAACTGCTAAATAGTTCATTTTGGGCATGCACTTCATATCTGAGAGTCAAATAGAAGCATCAAATAGTGCAGTTACAGCGCAGTTGTAAACATTCTAATTGTTTTGCTGCTAAACTGCTAAATAGTACATTTTGGGCATGCTCTTCATATCTGAGAGTCAAATAGAAGCATCAAATAGTGCGGTTACAGCGCGGTTGTAAACATTCTAATTTTTTTGCTGCTAATCTGCTAAATAGTACATTTTGGGCGTGCTCTTCATATCTGAGAGTCAAATAGAAGCGTCAAATAGTGCGCTTACAGTGCAGTTGTAAAAATTCTAATTGTTTTGCTGCTAATCTGCTAAATAGTACATTTTGTGCGTGCTCTTCATATCTGAGAGTCAAATAGAAGCGTCAAATAGTGCGCTTACAGTGCAGTTGTAAAAATTCTAATTGTTTTAATGCTAAACTGCTAAATAGTACATTTTGGGCGTGCTCTTCATGTCTGAGAGTCAAATAGAAGTGTCAAATAGTGCACTTACAATGCAGTTGTAAATATTCTGATTGTTTTGCTGCTAAAGTGCTAAATAGTAAATTTTGGGCATGCTCTTCATATCTGAGAGTCAAACAGAAGTGTCAAATAGTGCGCTTACAGCGCAGTTGTGAACATTCTAATTGTTTTGCTGCTAAACTGCTAAATGGTACATTTTGGCGTGCACTTCATATCTGAGAGTCAAATAGAAGCGTCAAATACTGCTGTCACATTGCAGTTGTAAAACTTTAACATTTTTTGGTGCTAAAAAGTACTTTAGTGGGGTGCACTTCATATCTGAGAGTCAAATAGAAGCGTCAAATACTGCTGTCACATTGCAGTTGTAAAACTTTAACATTTTTTGGTGCTAAAAAGTACTTTAGTGGGGTGCACTTCATATCTGAGAGTCAAATAGAAGCGTCAAATACTGCTGTCACATTGCAGTTGTAAAACTTTAACATTTTTTGGTGCTAAAAAGTACTTTAGTGGGGTGCACTTCATATCTGAGAGTCAAATAGAAGCATCAAATAGTGCACTTACAGCGCAGTTGTAAAAATTCTAATTGTTTTGCTGCCATTCTGCTAAATAGTACATTTTGGGCGTGTTCTTCATATCTGAGAGTCAAATAGAAGGGTCAAATAGTGCGCTTACAGCGCAGTTTTAAAAATTCGAATTGTTTTGCTGCTAAACTGCTAAATAGTACATTTGCGGCCTGTACTTCATATCTGAGAGTCAAATAGAAGCGTCAAATAGTGCGCTTACAGCGCAATTGTAAACATTCTTATTTTCTGGGTGCTAAAAAGTACATTAGTGGGGTGCACTTCATATCTATATATATATAACAATATTGTAATTTGGGGGCAATACCCTCACAAGTCAAAATGAGAGGTCAGTTTAAAGGGAAAACTGTTGCCTGGATACAATTCTAAAACAATTCCATATGTCCTTTGCAGAGTTTACATGCTGGAAAAACACAGGTGCCAACTGCTGTGGCTTTCTGCAGTGTGCAGACCGGCAAGGAGGGCAGGGTTGAGGAGTGGGTGGAAGATGATGTGGAGGATGATGAGGTCCTAGACCCCACATGGAATCAAGGTCATGCAAGTGACGTGTGCAGTTTGGAGGAAGAGGCGCTGGTTGCACAGAGGCACCAGCACAGCATAAGAGGGAGCAGGGTGAAAAATCGGAGCAGCCGTCCCCTAGCTTTCGTCGGCATGTATTATTTTTATAATTCCCACAGTTATCCAGTTGAGCACCAGCGTTTGTGCGGCCACATACCAGGACCCTGATGCAGCTTCACTAAAAATAGTACTGGATACCAGAAGCCATCACCAGACTGACCCGCAACTTGGAACAGGATGTAACATTCACTGTTGCGGCTGTGCGTGCTTTCGGCGTTCTCACCCTGCTGCTGCTCACCTGTCTGTGCTGCAGCGTAACTTTGGCCTTCCCACTCACCGCCTCATATGCGACGTGCCCACAAGGTGGAACTCCACCTTGCACATGCTGGAGAGACTGTGCAAGCAGAAGCAGGTGATAGTGGAATTTCAGCTGCAGCACGCACGGGTCAGTCGCTCTGCACCAGACTTGCCCTCCAATTGATCAAAGTTAAAGGATTTCAAGTGGACTCAATACAATTACAGGGCCTCTAAAGAGTCCTGTATTGTTATTTGACGTCACTACCTTCCCACATCGGGAGTGGATCATTTGCTCGCCTGCTGCCTTCCTTGCATGTGGTAGCCATTTCTCAGATTCCCTCTCCATAATCCAACCCTGATTCACCATTACGCGTGGTCACCATGGTAGGTGCAGTAAATGGCATCGAAAGTTTATATTGATGACATACCAATGCGTCGTCGCCTTGTCGTTGGGGAGCCCATTGAAAAAGTGTTCTAGCATGACAAGCTGGGTGATCTCCTCTGGAACTTGGCTTGATGGGAGTTGAGCCAGTTCTGGGTGGCCCTTGTGATGTGGCATGCCCACTCCACATGGGAGTCCTTCTCCCCCTTCCGGGTCTCCCTAAACTTTCGGCGGTATTGCTCAGGGGGCGACCGCATACCAGGCCAGGAGGATTTGGGTACTAAAGGGATAGTCTCTGATCTGCTCTTCTGGTACAGTCCGGTAAATATCCGCTGCCTTCCCCACTAATTTGCTGGCCAGGATGGTGACCCAGTCGCTGGGGTCCACGTCTTGGAGTAGGCACTGGCCCCTTAAAGTCTTGTAAAAAGTCATTGATGCCTTCTTCTGCTTCCTTGAAGTCTTTGAAGGCATTGGATGGTAGCTTGTGGGCCAGGGTGGTTGTGTTTCCCGGTGCCCTCTGCTCCCTTCTTCCTTCATCTGGGCTCATGGAGGTGGCCCTCTGTCTATTGGCAAGGACATAGGTTTGCACCTCCAAAAAGGTCCTGCTGACAATCTCCTCTGAGGGTGGCTCTCGGTGATATGCCAGGCGCCATTAGACTTCCTTGCGCACTTCCTCCTCATCTCCTGCTGCTGCTTGCCTGTCTGCGCTGCAGCGTAACTTTGGCCTTCCGGCTCATCGCCTCATGAGACTGTGCGAGTAGCAGCAGGCGATAGTGGATTTTCAGCTGCAGCAAGCATGGGTCAGTCGCACTGCGGAACAGAGTTGTCTTTTTTTTATATGTCCCAATATTTTGGGGGCTACCCCAATTAAAAAAAAAAATATATATATATATATATATATATATATATAAAAACAGTGTTGGCTACCTCCTCCTCCACCACCGCTGCTTCCACCTACACCGCCACGCTCACCGCCTCCTCAACCTATGGGTCACTAAGTATAAACTATATACACAATAGCAGAGGCTTGTGAAGGCCTTTTCTCCATGCTTTAGGAGTTGAACATTTCTCCATGCATCAGGACTGCAAGAAATGCACCGCAGGCCCCAAATGTTTCTTTTTTTTATGTGTCCCAATATTTTGGGGGCTACCCCAATTAAAAAAACCAAAAACAAATAAAAAACAGTGTTGGCTACCTCCTCCTCCTCCACCGCCGCTTCCACCTACGCCGCCACGATCACCGCCCCCTCAACCTATGGGTCACTTAGTATAAACTATGCACACAATAGCAGAGGCTTGTGAAGGCCTTTTCTCTATGCATCAGGAGTTGAGCTCAGTTTGAACAATGAAAGAGAATACCCTGCACTCCAACCCTCTCTCAAATGGATAATTCTGGTGATCCTCATGACAGCCATGCTTTAGATTTTGATTTATGTTCTTTCAAAGCTAAAATCAAAGATTCCATCTGAGCCACATTTTATGGCTCAGCTGTATTTTTAATTTTTATGTTATTTTAATTGATTTCCCTATCCACAATTGTTTGCAGGGCACTTGTCCTACTCTTACCCACATTTTACTTCCTTTTGCAGCCCTCTAGCCCTTTCCAGGAGTTTTTTAGAGGCATTTTTGTGCCCAAAAGTTTGGGTCCCCATTGACTTCAATGGGATTTGGATTCGGGGTCAAGTTCAGGGTCACGTTCGGGGTGAAGTTCGAGCACGAACCCAGACTTTTTTTCAAAGTTCGGCCGGACCCGAACATCCAGGTGTCCGCTCAACTCTACTCATGAGCTTTCTGCATCGTGACCATATATTACTGGTCCTGGCAGTAGAGCCTCGTGCTCTTGGCTTGCTTTTCTTTTTATGCCTATTACAAAAACAGTGAAAGAAACATAAGTCATATTTTGTATATTGTAAGGTTTAAACAATAGTCCTCATTTTTTTTCCTCCTTATTAGAATGATATGTTAAAGGGGAATTCTTTAACATATCATTTTGTTTTGTGGCAAAATGTTTTTAATTGGTTTGACTAAAATGGTGTATCCAGCCACTGCTTGTCATTTTGATAATTTGTAAGTTATACTAATGTGTTAGAAGTATCTGTTTTGTCCAAATTCAGATTGCCGTTATACGCTGAAAATGTCAGCTGATGCAGTAAAAGTAAAATTACTCAGTGGGATAGGTTTTCAAAAATATAATCTTTTTAGGGAAGCATACAAAGAACATCCTGATGCATAATATGATTTATGATAACATATGCATATTTTTTATTTTTTTCAGATGAACTGCCTGTTCATCTGCAAATTATAATGTCAAAGTACAATTAACAGTATTTGAGTTCTATGAAAATAAATGTGAAATATATTTTTACAAACACACAAGGAGGCAAATGAAATGTGGAAACATGTATACCAAACACCAGAGAAAATACTACTATTGTTTTAAATAACAATTAAGGTGTAACTAATAAAAAAACAAAACAAATATAGCCATATAATGTATAATGTAACAATCCCCTCGTTTAGTGAAATAGTGAAACTTGATTGCCTTTGCTGCCTTAGTCATTGTTGGATTCACTCTTTAGCGGGTAACTCATGGTAACATCCTATGCCTATATGCCTTAATAAATCCCTTTAATAAATCATATTTAACCCCTTAGTGACCGGTGATGTACCAGGTATGTCCGCCAAAACATGGTTGTTAAAGACCGCAGACGTACCTGGTATGTTATTTAGTAGATCGGGACTTACCTGATCGCTAATGATCACAATCCTAAGGTCTGCCTGAGCTCCCAGGCAGACCTCCACTGCCCAATCCGTCCCTCCCAGACCATGTGATCATGGGGTCCTAGCAATCATATGGCTGGAATAGCCAGCTTGTGCAGTGCCTGCAAGGGGGCTGCCTGAACTTTTAGGCAGTCCTCCTAGTGCCTGAAAATAAGTTTGAAAAGTTACATAGTTAATAAAAGTTTATAAAGTACATAAAAAGTACTTAGATCATATGTATATATATATATATATATATATATATATATATAATTTAAGTACTTTTACATGCACATAAATACACATACACCATTATTAAAAGTGTATTTTAATATTAATTATATATATATATATAAAAATACACTTAGAATTACATTAATTATATATATATATATATATATATATATATATATATATATATATATATATAAAATTAATGTATTACTTTTCACACATAAATGTAATTAAGTTTGAGAGGCCTCCCTTCTACAGGATGTATGACCTCGCTCGACCTCAGGATGTTCCTGTCCCATCTTTATTCAAATGCTTATCTTTTAATTTCAGACAAGTACGTACTATTAACTACAAGGAAACGATAAATCTCACTGCTTGCGTGACAAACTGTGTATAAATGCTATACAGCAAAAACAGACTCAAAGGAATCCATGATTAAAATGGAATGAGGCAAAAATGTGATTCTTTGTTGAACTAATTTGCATATACCTACCCAGAATCCTTTGCGGTAGTAACATCACTGCAGATTTGGGATTTCTGTGGGAAAAGCTTATGGCTTGACTGGTGTGCAGATTTTTGTTTAACATTGTATTAACTATCCACAGACTTCAGATGGAAGGTGTTTTCAATCACAATTTTTTCACATGTAACCTTTTTGTTTTTTTGCTTCCATAGATAGACAGACAGACAGATAGGTAGGTAGGTAGATAGATAGATAGATAGATAGACAGACAGACAGACAGAGACAGATAGATATGTCAAAGCATAACATCCATTTAGGATAGAGTTTAAATCAGTCTCTTGGATGTAGTTCAGTCTTTTCATCTGTTAAAAAGTATGAAAACGTGGGTGGATTTATGTCAGTAACCGTAATAAATATTAAAGTATACCTCATAACTGGAGGGAGATCTAACAAAATGAACAATATTTCAAGTTTTATGTTTTTTTTTTGTTTTTTTTTAAATGGCGCCTTTAAACTTGGGATTTAAGAAGTCACTGGTTTAAAAATATACTGGTGCATTATTTTTTTGTGTAAGAAAGGACAAATAAATAGTCAGCTATTGTCATTTTACCAATGTGACTGGATTAAAATAGTAACAGTGTGAATAAGTCAGTGTTTCCCAACCCAGTCCTCAAGGCACACCTACCAGTCCACGATTTAGGGATTACCCAGTTGTGTCTAAGGTGTTTTTACAAAGAAGAAAAAAAACACCTTAGATACAACTGGGTAATCCCTAAATCCTGGACTGGTAGGTGTGCCTTGAGGACTGGGTTGGGAAACACTGGTATAAGTGAATAGAGTAAAGGGGAGGGGTTAATGTCAGAGTTATAATGCATAAGATGTTTAATGTTAAAAGACTTGAGAGATGTTAAAGTTGTAGTACAAGGGCTATTTGGGACTATTGAGTTTAGGGCTTGAGTTTGGTTTAGTACTGGGGTACATGAGATGTTTGTTTTTAATAGGAGTTAACCATAGTTAAACATAGTATTAAAGGGACACTATAGGCACCAAAATAATAGGGATGTGCATGGGCAAAAAATTCGGTTCGGTTCAACACTTCCGAAAATAGGGACTTAGTCAATTCGGTCCGGTTCGGCACTTCGGAAATTCGGCACTTCGGCACTTTGGTTCGGTTCGGCAGTTCCGAAATTTTAGACTTCAGCAATTCGGGAATTCCCTAACCTTAACCCTACCACTAACCCTACCCCTACTAGGGTTAGGGGTAGGGTTAGGGTTATGGGTAAGGGTAGGGTTAGGGTTAGAAGTAGGGTTAGAGGTAGGGTTAGGGGTAGGGTTAGGGGTAGGGTTAGGGGTAGGGTTAGGGGTAGGGTTAGGGGTAGGGTTAGGGTTATGGGTAAGGGTAGGGTTAGGGTT